TTTCAGATTTTTCATCATTAGTGTATAGGAATGCCAGAGATTTCTGTGCATTAATTTTGTATCCTGCCACTTTACCAAATTCATTGATTAGCTCTAGTAGTTTTCTGGTAGCATCTTTAGGATTCTCTATGTATAGTATCATGTCATCTGCAAATAGTGACAGCTTTACTTCTCCTTTTCCGATTTGGATTCCTTTTATTTCCTTTTCTTCTCTGATTGCTGTGGCTAAAACTTCCAAAACTATGTTGAATAAGAGTGGTGACAGTGGGCAACCTTGTCTTGTTCCTGATCTTAGTGGAAATGGTTTCAGTTTTTCACCATTGAGGACAATGTTGGCTGTAGGTTTGTCATATATGGCCTTTACTATGTTGAGGAAAGTTCCCTCTATGCCTACTTTCTGCAGGGTTTTTATCATAAATGGGTGTTGAATTTTGTCAAAAGCTTTCTGTGCATCTATTGAGATGATCATATGGTTTTTCTCCTTCAATTTGTTAATATGGTGTATCACGTTGATTGATTTGCGTATACTGAAGAATCCTTGCATTCCTGGAATAAACCCCACTTGATCATGGTGTATGATCCATTTAATGTGCTGTTGGATTCTGTTTGCTAGTATTTTGTTGAGGATTTTTGCATCCATGTTCATCAGTGATATTGGCCTGTAGTTTTCTGTCTTTGTGACATCCTTGTCTGGTTTTGGTATCAGGGTGATGGTGGCCTCGTAGAATGACTTTGAGAGTGTTCCTCCCTCTGCTGTATTTTGGAAGAGTTTGAGAAGGATGGGTGTTAGCTCTTCTCTAAATGTTTGATAGAATTCGCCTGTGAAGCCATCTGGTCCTGGGCTTTTGTTTGTTGGAAGATTTTTAATCACAGTTTCAATTTCAGTGCTTGTGATTGGTCTGTTCCTATTTTCTATTTCTTCCTGATTCAGTCTTGGCAGGTTGTGCCTTTCTAAGAATTTGTCCATTTCTTCCAGGTTGTCCATTTTATTGGCATAGAGTTGCTTGTAGTAATCTCTCATGATCTTTTGTATTTCTGCAGTGTCAGTTGTTACTTCTCCTTTTTCATTTCTAATTCTATTGATTTGAGTCTTCTCCCTTTTTTTCTTGATGAATCTGGCTAATAGTTTATCAATTTTGTTTATCTTCTCAAAGAACCAGCTTTTAGTTTTATTGATCTTTGCTATCGTTTCCTTCATTTCTTTTTCATTTATTTCTGATCTGATTTTTATTATTTCTTTCTTCTTCTAACTTTGGGGTTTTTTTGTTCTTCTTTCTCTAATTGCTTTAGGTGCAAGTTTAGGTTGTTTATTCGAGATATTTCCTGTTCAAAAGTAGGATTGTATTGCTATAAACTTCCCTCTTAGAACTGCTTTTGCTGCATCCCATAGATTTTGGGTCATCGTGTTTCCATTGTCATTTGTTTCTAGGTATTTTTTTGATTTCCTCTTTGATTTCTTCAGTGATCACTTCGTTATTAACTAGTGTATTGTTTAGCCTCCATGTGTTTGTATTTTTTACAGATCTTTTCCTGTAACTGATATCTAGTCTTATAGCGTTGTCGTTGGAAAAGATACTTGATACAATTTCAATTTTCTTAAATTTACCAAGGCTTGATTTGTGACCCAAGATATGATCTATCCTGGAGAATGTTCCGTGAGCACTAGAGAAAAATGTGTATTCTGTTGTTTTTGGATGGAATGTCCTATAAATATCAATTAAGTCCATCTTGTTTAATGTATCATTTAAAGCTTGTTTTTCCTTATTTATTTTCATTTTGGATGATCTGTCCATTGGTGAAAGTGGGGTGTTAAAGTCCCCTACTATGACTGTGTTACTGTTGATTTCCCCTTCTATGGCTGTTAGTATTTGCCTTATGTATTGAGGTGCTCCTATGTTGGGTGCATAAATATTTACAATTGTTTTATCTTCTTCTTAGATCGATCCCTTGATCATTATGTAGTGTCCTTTGTCTCTTCTAATAGTCTTTATTTTAAAGTCTATTTTGTCTGATACGAGAATTGCTACTCCAGCTTTCTTTTGGTTTCCATTAGCATGAAATATCTGTTTCCATCCTCTTACTTTCAATCTGTATGTGTCTCTAGGTCTGAAGTGGGTCACTTGAAGACAGCAAATATATGGGTCTTGTTTTTGTATCCATTCAGCCAGTCTGTGTCTTTTGGTGGGAGCATTTAGTCCATTTACATTTAAGGTAATTATCGATATGTATGTTCCTGTTCCCATTTTCTTAACTGTTTTGGGTTCGTTAATTGTAGGTCTTTTCCTTCTCTTGTGTTTCTTGCCTAGAGAGGTTCCTTTAGCAGTTGTTGTAGAGTTGGTTTGGTGGTGCTGAACTCTCTCAGCTTTTGCTTGTCTGTAAAGGTTTTAATTTCTCCATCAAATCTGAATGAGATCCTTGCTGGGTAGAGTAATCTTGGCTGCAGTTTTTTCTCCTTCATCACTTTAAATATGTCCTGCCAGTCCCTTCTGGCTTGCAGAGTTTCTGCTGAAAGATCAGCTGTTAACCTTATGGGGATTCCCTTGTGTGTTATTTGTTGTTTATCCCTTGCTGCTTTTAATATGTTTTCTTTGTATTTAATTTTTGACAGTTTGATTAATATGTGTCTTGGCATATTTCTCCTTGGATTTATCCTGTATGGGACTCTCTGTGCTTCCTGGACTTGATTAACTATTTCCTTTCCCATATTAGGGAAGTTTTCAACTATAATCTCTTCAAATATTTTCTCAGTCCCTTTCTTTTTCTCTTCTTCTTTTGGAACCCCTATAATTCGAATGTTGGTACATTTAATGTTGTCCCAGAGGTCTCTTAGGCTGTCTTCATTTCTTTTCATTCTTTTTTCTTTATTCTGCTCTGCAGTAGTTATTTCCACTCTTATCTTCCAGGTCACTTATCCGTTCTTCTGCCTCAGTTATTCTGCTATTGATCCCTTCTAGAGAATTTTAAATTTCATTTATTGTGTTGTTCATCTCTGTTTGTTTGCTCTTTAGTTCTTCTAGGTCCTTGTTAAGCATTTCTTGTATTTTCTCCATTCTACTCCCAAGATTTTGGATCATCTTTACTATCATTATTCTGAATTCTTTTTCAGGTAGGCTGCCTATTTCCTCTTCATTTGTTTTGTCTGGTGGGTTTTTGCCTTGCTCCTTCATCTGCTGTGTGTTTCTCTGTCTTCTCCTTTTGCTTATCTTACTGTGTTTGGGGTCTGCTTTTCTCAGGCTGCAGGTTTGTAGTTCCCGTTGTTTTTGGTGTCTGTCTCCAGTGGCTAAGGTTGGTTCAGTGGGCTGTGTAGGCTTCCTGGTGGAGGGGACTAGTGCCTGTGTTCTGGTGGATGAGGCTGGATCTTGTCTTTCTGGTGGGCAGGTCCACGTCTGGTGGTGTGTTTTGGGGTGTCTGTGGCCTTATTATGATTTTAGGCAGCCTCTGTGCTAATGGGTGGGGTTGTGTTCCTGTCTTGCTAGTTGTTTGGCATAGGGTGTCCAGCACTGGAGCTTGCTGGTCGTTGAGTGAAGCTGGGTGCTGGTGTTGAGATGGAGATCTCTCGGAGATTTTTGCCGTTTGATATTATGTGGAGCTGGGAGGTCTCTTGTGGACCAGTGTCCTGAAGTTGGCTCTCCCGCCTCAGAGGCACAGCACTGACTCCTGGCTGCAGCACCAAGAGCCTTTCATCCACACGGTTAATTTGGGATGATTCGTTGTCTATTCATGTATTCTACAGATGCAGGGTACATCAAGTTGATGTGGAGCTTTAATCCGCTTCTTCTGAGGCTGCTGGGAGAGATTTCCCTTTCTCTACTTTGTTCTCACAGCTCCCAGGGGTTCAGCTTTGGATCTGGCCCCGCCTCTGGGTGTAGGTCGCTGGAGGGTGTCTGTTCTTCGCTCAGACAGGACGGGGTTAAAGGAGCCGCTGATTGGGGGCTCTGGCTTACTCAGGCCGGGGGTAGGGAGGGGCACAGAGTGCCAGGCAAGCCTGCGGCTGCAGAGGCCAGCATGACATTGCACTAGCCTGAGGCGTGCCCTGCGTTCTCCCGGGGGAGTTGTCCCTGGATCACAGGACCCTGGCAGTGGCGGGCTGTCTCTGGGGTCCGCGCTTTTAGCCGTGACTCGCGCCCGTCTCTTGATCTCCTTTAAGCAGCCTTCTTAATCCCCTCTCCTCATGCACCAGGAAAGAAAGAGGGAAGAAAAAGTCTCTTGCCTCTTCGGCAGGTCCAGACTTTTCCTGGACTCCCTCCCGGCTAGCCGTGTTGCACTAACCCCTTCAGGCTGTGTTCACGCTGCCAACCAGAGCCCTCTCCCTGCGCTCCGACCAAAGCCCGAGCCTCAGCTCCCAGACACGCCCGCTCCGGCGGGGCAGCAGACAAGCCTCTCGGGCTGTTGAGTGCCGGTCGGCACCGATCCTCTGTGCGGGAATCTCTCCGCTTTGCCTCCCGCACCCCTGTTGCTGTGCTCTCCCCCGAGGCTCCGAAGCTTTCCCCCTCCGCCACCTGCAGTCTCCGCCCACGAAGGGGCTTCCTAGTGTGTGGAAACCTTTCCTCCTTCACATCTCCCTCCCACTGGTGCAGGTCCCATCCCTACCCTTTTGTCTCTGTTTATTCTTTTTTCTTTTTCCGTACCCAGGTACGTGGGGGGTTTCTTGCCTTTTGGGAGGTCTGAGGTCTTCTGCCAGCATTCAGTAGGTGTTCTGTAGGAGTTGTTCCACGTGTAGATGTATTTCTGGTGTATCTGTGGGGAGGAAGGTGATCTCCGCATCTTACTCTTCCGCCATCTTCCTGGAAGTCAGCCATAATGCATTTTATTTTTGTGACTATGTGTTGCAGATCTTATACAAAGCTAAAGGAGAAGATGTGAAACATAAATATACGATGGGTCCTGATGTTCCTCAATTTCTCCAGGCCAAGTGCAATGCTTACAATATAAGTGATGTAAGTAGGGGTTTTGATGGGGTGTGAAATCCAGACCTGATGATAAAATAATAGAATTTTAGAGTATGACAGGGCTTTGACAATTTAGGTCAGTTTTCTCCATAGCCCCCATTAGAGCATATCCCATGATAATGGTTCTGTACCTCTTGAGTCGGCCTTTTCAAGTGTAGGACAACTCTAAAGGGTATAGCATTCTTCTTTGTGTCAAGCTCAACACATATTTCTCTAGTTTTCCTAGTTCTGCACATGGAGGAAGTTTTTATCCTCCAGAAAAATGAGGATAAATGAAACCCACCCCCCCCCTTTTTTTTTTTTTTAAGAACAACACTAAAATTTCTAAAGCTAACCACCAGGTCTTTCCTGGACCTTCCTTTCATAAGATTGAGCTTCATTTTCTCCAGTTGGTTCTCACATACTGTGGTTTCCAGAACCTTTATTACTCTCCTCTGGATCCACTCCAGTTTCTCAGTTTTCCTCTTCAATATGTGCCCAAACCAGACTTGGGTGAATGATTAGTACAGAGTCTAATAAGTTTATGCTATACAATTTCATGTATGACATTTTGCTCATGTGACTTCTGTTTTTTAAATTGAAGTATAGTTGATTTACCATTAATGTGACTTCTTAAAACTGTGTGCTATAGGAGATTCTTCTAGCTTCTATCTGGAAAAGAACAAAGCAATCCCAGCTGTTGAGGAATCAGTGTCGCTGATTACCCCAGAGCATGCTGACATCCTTTTTCCTTCTCCATCGCAGGTCTGTTATAAACGGGACTGGCATGATTTAATAGCCAAGGGCAACAATGTGCTGGGTGACGCTATACCCATCACTGCAGCCAAAGCATCGAGAAACATTGCCAGTGATGTGAGTAAAAATTTTAGGTGAAATCTGGGTGATTGTCATTTTTACAAAGTAATCAAATGGGTGCTTGTTAAAATGATACCACATTGAAAACAGTATGTTGAATTAATGACATTTAAATTCTCCGCAAAATATTGTTTTGAAAACCTGTCACTTTTTTTTTTTTTTCCCCTGTGGTACGCGGGCCTCTCACTGTTGTGGCCTCTCCCGTTGCGGAGCACAGGCTCCGGACATGCAGGCTCAGCGGCCATGGCTCACGGGCCCAGCTGCTCCGTGGCATGTGGGATCTTCCCGGACTGGGGCATGAACCCGTGTCCCCTGCATCGGCAGGCAGACTCTCAACCACTGTGCCACCAGGGAAGCCCTGAAAACCTGTCACTTTTTCAATGTTTTGTGATTCTTTTCAGTTGACCCCACTTGGTAGAGCTGTCATAAATCTGACAGTGGCTTTCTCTCCTGATTCATAGCCCAAATTACCTTCCCTGACACATTTCCCTGACAGCCCACATTTATTTTCAGGGAGAATACCCTACCTGCCACTAACATGTTAAATTCAGATGACTGCCTGCATTATAATTGTATTAAGAAGATTGAAAAAATGTTAAATAAAATGTACAGATTTTATAAACCAAATGGGAAAAAGCCCACTTTTCTAGAATATAATTTTGATTTATTTCATCTGTAATAGAAAAAGTATACACTTACACTTCTTCTCATCATTGAAAAACAAAATTTTCCAAAAGCACGCACACACCATAGATTTCACTGTCACACACTATTCCAGAGGCTACACTCTTCGTCTGACACAAGAAAAGAAAGAAACCACGTGTACAGACCATGTGGAAGATAGGGTGTAAGAATTCTACAGCCTTCCATGTAGGGATGGTACTGAAAATGTGTTCTTCAAAGCTTTGCACATCACTCTGAAATACATTTCTAGTTTAAGGAGAAAGTGACAGTCTAAAATATGACATTATCATTTTTATTTTTAGCCCTTACACAGAACTTTTTCTAACATGCCTAGAAATTACTTGATAATTCTTTTGCCTGCTAAACTCTTGTTTATAAATTGGTGCTTAAATGGCAGGAGCAGAGTGTCTTCAGAGTTTGGGTGGATTTGAATTCTCTTACATAAAAATTGAGGTTTTGATTTGTTACCTACTGTATAGCTCAGTCTACACCCCATTGCCGATCTCAGCGGTGAGAGACCTTGGACCGCAGAGCTTTTGCAGTCAGCTTTTACTGATGAGGAAAGGTCTTGGTGGTTCCTGCCCTTATTATATAGTTCCTTATTTCATGTGCAGCTGCTTCAGCAGTGAGCTTGGAGAGTAGCTGCTGAGAAATGGGGTTGGGTGAAAGCCTAGCTACCTGCCAAAGAAGAGGGTTTTTTTGTTTAACCATATTAGGTCAACTGAGACAACAAACATAGTAACATTTTCCATCCCCCACCCCAAAGAGATCTGAGTATAAACATCTTGCATGTACAGTTCTTTAGAGTTTCTTCTGCACCTTTTCCTGGACCAATCAGAATCGAAAACAGAAGTATTTCTAGTATTCTGTGATGTGAACTAACATGTTGGATTAGGAAAATTCACATCCCTGGAAAACCAAGATATATATTTGGAATGTCGTCTTATATTTTGGAATATGTTATGTTTATATTAAGTGTGAAAACTTAATAGAGTTGGCTCTATATAAAGTTTCACATGCAAATCATCTATAGCATTCGTAGCAAAGAAAAGAAACTGCTCCTGAATTTATCATGATACCCATTTATAACCCAGCAGTATTGGAAATAAATGCTTTCAGTCTAAACTTCCTGGGGTTGGGGGGCATGGGGTGTGGACTGTATTTCTTGGACAGTCTTCCAGAAAATCACAATATTCTGAATGCCTTTGCGTGTGAATATAATCGCTCCACCTAATGTTCCCAATGCTTAAGACTTTGCTAACCAAATTCTGCCTCCACAGTATAAATACAAGGAAGCTTACGAGAAGGCAAAGGGAAAGCATGTGGGTTTTAGAAGCCTCCAGGATGATCCTAAGCTCGTCCACTATACGAATGTGGCAAAGTTACAGTCTGATCGTGAATACAAGAAGAACTATGAAAACACCAAAACCAGCTATCATACCCCTGGGGACATGGTTAGCATTACAGCTGCAAAGATGGCCCAGGATGTTGCCACCAACATCAACTACAAGCAGCCGATACATCACTACACATACCTACCTGATGCCCTGAGTCTTGAGCATACCAGGAATATGAATCAAATTCAGAGTGATGTGAGTATGTATAACATTATAGACCTAGAGATGCTGGTACTGAACAGGTGATCATTTCTTCCTATTTTAGTAGACTTCACAATACAATAAGGTATTTGAAAAATGCACTTTAAAATATACAGTTGTCATTGAAAGAGTAACAAAGGCATGGTAGACACGCTGTGTTTTACTAGCTTTCTGTGCTCCTATCGCAATCATTGATATTATCTTTATTAACTTATGGGTCAAAGATAAAGCCATGTTCTACTAAGTACATAAGCCACCCTGGTTCTCAACAAAAGGAAATGGTTACTCCTGGTGGGCCTGCTTCAACAGCAATATGTATAATGCAAAATAGGAGCATTCTCTATTCTTTCTGAATTCAGGAATGTTCTTTTTTTTCTTCTTCTTCTATTTTTGAACTCAAGGTCACACTCTCATGCATGTAAATGTATGTAACGAGTCATCTAAAATGAACCAGGAGGGTTTTGTGATTGCAGCATGACTCATGGAGAGCTGCATGGGGGAGGGTGTTTAATATTCAGAGCATTTCCTGCTGCAGGAGCCAGGTTTTTGTAAGAATCATCCTTGGTAAAGGGAAAAAATTGTGTTCCTTTATTGTTGCTCAATGAGAATGTCTCTCTCCACCTGAGATGGAGGAGCTCAGGTGGACGGTGTGGGTGAAATTCAGAAGTTGTGGAGATTTCAGTGAAATCAAAAGGAAAGCCCAATTTATTGTCAGAAGAGACACTTTTTTTTTTTTTTTTTTTTTTTTTTTTTAGCAGTACCCATGGAAATATGTGGCCTACATTCTCTCCTGGAGTGTTAATGCACTCTAACAACAGAACTGCTTTTTCTTATGACCAAATTCTGAGTAAGAAGCTCTGTGGCAGAGATAGCCAAAAGCTCCAGTATAGACACAGGCATGCTGACAGGTTGCTCTTCATTCCCGCCCTGGATAGAATTACAGATTCCAGAAACAGCTCTTGAGTATGCACTAGGATATCCCCTCATCTGAGATTACTCTTTTACAGAATGTATATAAAGATGAGTACAACAACTTTCTCAAGGGCATTGGATGGATCCCTCTTGGTTCTCTGGAGGTTGAGAAGGCCAAGAAAGCAGGCAATGCATTAAATGAGAGAAAGTACCGACAGCACCCAGATACCATCAAGTTCACAAGTGTGCCTGATTCCATGGGCATGGTTTTGGCTCAGCACAATACAAAGCAGCTAAGTGATGTAAGTGGTTTTCCTTCAAAGAGTTTTTGTCCATGAATAACCCCATGACCAGTTACTCCACAATTCTTCTTAATTCAATTCATGAGTGTGCATCTATCTTAGCAAATCATCTGCTTTCAGAGGTATATCAAAAGGTTTTACTTTTGAAGCAACTTGGGACTTAAGAAGAACAGGAAGGAGAGAAGGACGATGTTCCAAGTTTGCTTTGTTTTCCAAATGTAGAGAGTCTATGTTATTTATAAGCAGACCCCTACACTATATATAGGAAATAAAATTATTTCTATTATAATCTGTGACCTTGTCTGAATTGCAAACCAAGATATATATTGCTCTCTCTCTCTCTCTCTCTCTATATATATATATATATAGAGAGAGAGAGAGAGAGAGAGAGAGAGAGAGTTGTAAGAGTTCTACCTAGCCAGATGAGGAGAAGGCTAATGTCCTAATCCCCTTGCAAAATAAATAGGGCGATATTCTGAGAGAGAGAAACACCTCTGGGGAAGAGTTAAGCAGTTTGCTTTCAGAGTCATCCAGAGTCTTTTTTCTGAGCCGAGGTCTATCTGGACCCTTTTTCTTAGTCAGAGGCTAATTACAATGCTCAGTGCTTCCCCTCATTTGATAATTTCAGAGTTCTAAGATACCTCCCCCAGAAAGAGTGGTAAGTAAAAAACAAAGAAGAGAGGACTTTTTGTGGCTTTAACCGCAGATATTCGAAGGTGGGGAATGCATTCTTCGGTTCAGATTTGAGGGTTTTCTGGATTTTATTTCTCAGACCAGTCCCACATTACCACAGATGTTTCAAGATTAATTCTATTCTAGTGGTACTAAATGGTGTAGATTGTTCTGATTTCTTTTGTACTGACCGAGGTGTCACTTCTCCCTGTGTTTTTCCAGTTAGCTAGGAAAACCCTAAACTCACGATATTAAGTCTTCCTCATCCCAATAAATGCCGTCAACATCTACCTAGTTACTCAAGCCTGAAACCTGGCAGTCACCATCGACACCTCCCCATGTGAACACCCCTCATCCAACGCCTCTACTGAGTTAGCCTCCCAAATCTCTCAGCCATCCTGTTGGAGAACTTCTCTGTCTTTCAGCTGCCACCAACCCTAGTTCTGGCCCCCATGTCTCACGTGGACAACTGTAATAATCCATTACCTGGACTCCCTGCCTGGGGCCACACAAAAACCAAAAAGACTGTCTTAAGACATAAATCAAATCATGTCCTTCTTATACTTAAAACCCCTTAGTAGCTTCTCCTTGAACTCAAAGTAAAATCTAAACTGTTGAAACTGTTTTTTTGGTTGAAAAAGCCCTCAGCTCTGTGCCCCCGCCCCCTCCTGTCTAATCCTCCTGGGACCCTGCTCAGCACATTCCAGCCCAGTGACCTTCAGTTCCTCAAGCTAGCCATGCCCCTTCTAGACCCAGGGCCCTGAATGCTCTTCTTCTGCCCGGACCCTTCCCTTTTCTTCAAGTTTGGGTGTAAATGTTACCTTTTTAGAGAGCCTTTGCTGACCCCCCACCCTGACCCTGTTCATTTCTTTCCTAAAGTTATTTAATTTACAACACATCACGAATTCTAGCTCTATCTTACGGTTTACGTGCTATTCTCTGTTTCCTCTATTGGACTATAAGCTCCAAGAGGACAGGTCTGCCTTTTTCTTTTTAACCACTTTAAACACAGAACCTACCATGCTGCCTATTGATCAGAGTGCTGTCCAATAAATATGGGTGGAATGAGCAATGAATATGTCTCCCAACACTCCCTCTGTGTGATAATGTAGCTAATTGCCTTATAAATGGAAAAACACAAACGATAGTCTTCCTTTTTAAAGGAACGTGTGCTAGATGAAACTTACATTATGTTAGCTAATACGATTTGCACGCTGCCTCCTTCGTTTTTAGGTGAACTACAAGGTGGAGGGAGAGAAACTGAAGCACAAGTACACTATGGACCCTGATGTACCGCAGTTTATTCAAGCCAAGGTCAATGCCTTCAACATAAGTGATGTGAGTATTTGGCCTGGTGCCCGTCTAGTATTGCTTACATGGGCCTCTCCTTTCCAGTTCTATATAACTAGCACTGGGAATTTTAGGGAGAGCAAACTGAGTGTGGACCCTTTGAGTCTTTGATGGAGGAGGTCATTGAGAGGACGTGATTGACAGGTGACCCTTGAGCTGGACCTGGGCAATTGGAGGCTCCTCACCCCCTCCCATCCTTGGAATGTAAGTTCTGCCCACTGTTCCCACAGTGGGAGCCATTTTCAAGGACACAGCCTTGAGAGACCAATGTGTTGTTGAGACCACTTGCACTGAATCCACTTGAGGCCTTAATAAACTTGTAAGGTTCTGACGGGCGGGTGTGAAGATCTACTTGTCTTGTGACTGCCCAAGACAACCCTCGAATGTAAGTTCCCTTGTTTATTAAACCTGCCGCCTACCAAGCTGGAGTGGTCAGCCTGTTTTTTCAGTCTCTCCTTGCCCTCCATGTACGGGGACCAATTTGTGAACCAACAGTCTCCAGATTGGATCCTTATCATAGAATATGAGACTAGAGCCTACCATACATTTCACTTAATGCGGACTTTTCCCAACTGTGGGCTATGACTCATTAGTGGGTTATAAAATCAATCTAGTAGGTTGTGTTCCATTTTTTAAAAAGTAAAACAAAATAGGACAGAGAGGATTGGAAAATACAGGAATGCATGGTCTGTAGTAAGGATAAGTATTGCTATTTCTATAACTTTTGTTTCAGTTATTTGTTAAAATTCTAAACTTCTAAACAAGTTTACCATGATTTTCTTTAGAAACTCTTCTTTGTATGTGACTAGCATCTCTCTCTCATTGGTGGTGATGTTTAAATTTACTATTATGAATTATTTCCTTTTGCTTTTAAAGCAAATTGGTAAATTCTAATTTAAATGCATAATCCAACCTGGATAAAATTGTTCATTTCTTAAAAGATGATTTAGTCATTCTTCCTAACATTTTAGGCTCTCTTTTATCTCCAAATAAACATTTTTTAAAGTACTCATTTCTATGCTTTTGGTTTATTTAAAACTTTTTCCTGCTTTTATAAGTAATATTTAAAAATTAATATTAATTAAAGCTGGGTGGTACTACATCTGAACTTTTAATTTTAGTACCCACATCTTTCTGTAAGTTTAAAATGTTTCATTATAAAAAATACAAGAAAATAAAAGCATTGCATGCTTATTATAGAAAAATTGGAAAATATAGAAAATTATGAAAAAATTAAAATCTTCTGTTATCCCACCTTCAAAGCAATACCTTTCCATTGCTTTTTTTAATGCACACATATACATTTTTTACAGCAGTTGAGATCATACTGTGTATATAGTTTACTGATTTTTTTTTAAAGAATAATAGATTTCTAAAAGATGAACTTAGAGCCCTAACTCTGGATTCTTTTAATAGAAAGGGATATATTATGACATGTTTTATAAGAAAGATTTTGGTTTCCTGTTTCATTCCTCTTTTAATTATGTCAGATAATAAAATAATCTTTCCTTTTTTCAAGGCTAAGTATAAAGCAGATTGGAAGAAAACCCTTGCTAAGGGCTATGATTTGAGACCAGATGCCATTCCAATTGTTGCTGCAAAAAGTTCAAGGAATATTGCTAGCAATGTAAGTCTAATTTGAAAGTAGTAAACTCTCTTTATATTTAAAAAATATTTACATGGTGTATGAGGTTATATGAGCTATATTAGGAAGCAAATAAAAAATTGTAGTATAAAAATAATTCCTAATATCTTAGGTACCAGTGATTTTTTTATCTTAAAAATATTTAAAAACTCAGTAAGTTGTTACAAAGAAGATAATTTTTTTAAACTGTCAAATACATGGAATTCTCATTAGTATTATTATTATGAACTTGAAAACTGCTTTTTATTTGGATTTTGTTAAGAAAAAAGCCTTGGTATACTAAAATATTACTAAATCAAGAAAGTCTCCCAGTATTTTAAAAGAATACAATTTTTTGATAATATAATTTCCATAAAGAAAAAAATCTGGTGAAATATGGAAAACCAGGAAGAATTATATATTAAACGACAGCATTTCAGTTACCTGCTTACTTATTTACTTAATTAATTAATTACTTTTTATAAATTAAGTTATATTTTCTATAGGAATTGATATACCTTGATAGAGTAGAAATTCATTTGGAGTCCAATATACTAATTTTTATAATGTCTTTGCTGCAATTTACTCAGAATTATGCAAATAGTTTATAAGGTGATGCAAATTAATCATAGAAACAGATAATAAAAACTATGTTCACCAAATCCTTAATAAACTTTTCAGGAACCTTTGTTTGTATTCAAAGAATCCACCTATGAATAAATATAAACTACAATTTATTCCATTCTTAATTATCCCCAGAGCAGATCTCAAGACCATCCATTGGAAATACTTTGCTAGTTGTTTACTTAAAAATACTAAAAAACTTAGGTGTTACCTAGATTCAGAATGAATTTGGCTATTGCTTAATTTGTGATATAAATTCAGTTTAATGCTTTAGTATTTCATACAATCTACCCTATCAAACTTCTGTCTGCCCTTCTTTTTCATGTAGTTCAAATATAAGGAGGCCTACGAGAAAGCCAAAGGCAAACAAATTGGATTTCTCAGTCTTCAGGATGATCCTAAACTGGTTCACTACATGAATGTAGCCAAAATACAGTCAGATCGTGAGTACAAAAAGGGCTATGAAGCCAGCAAGACCAAGTATCACACCCCCTTGGATATGTTCAGTGTGACAGCAGCCAAGAAATCTCAGGAGGTCGCCACCAACACCAACTACAGACAACCCTTCCACCACTACACCCTGCTGCCTGATGCCTTGAACGTGGAGCATTCCAGGAACGCGATGCAGATTCAAAGTGACGTATGTAGCAGTCATCAGATTGTCAGCATAAAATTAGTTATCCATTTCTAGCTGACGGCTAAGAAGAACTAGAAATCAGCAATTCCATTTACTCCATCCTAAACCTGGTTGGACTCACTGTAATTAGGGATCCTCTCCAGAATTTGGAGTTTTAGGATTTCACTCATTTGAACTATATATATAGTTTTCTTTAGTTATTATGTATATATATACTTAAACTTTGGAAGTTAGACCCAATATATGTTGTATTCTGTGAAAGACTAACAGGTCCAAATGGGTGCTATATAATATCCTTTCCAGTGCAAAATTCTGTTAACGTTCCCCCCAAGAAAGTTAAATTTTTAAAGGAATTATTGGGTCAGGATTTTCTGTTCAAAACCACCATGAATACAATCACTTTGTAATTAATTTTTTTCTGAAGGATGGTAGGGAATAAAAAGCAGGTTATTCTCCCAGTCCCCCCATCCTTTTTTTTTTCCTCTTTTTAAAAATGAGCAAATCATCTGGTCAAAGAAACCCATGCCCTGACTCTTTCTGAAACGAGAATTTCCTTTTTCGTTGTGAAGAATCTGTACAAATCCGACTTCACCAATTGGATGAAAGGGATCGGCTGGGTGCCCATAGAGTCACCAGAGGTGGAGAAGGCAAAGAAAGCAGGAGAGATTCTTAGCGAGAAGAAGTACCGCCAGCACCCTGAGAAGCTAAAGTTCACATACGCCATGGACACACTGGAACAAGCACTAAACAAAAGTAACAAACTGATTATGAACAAGGTAAGAACTCACCTGCTGGCCTCAGCCTCAGAACCCCTGCAGTGCTCAGACCATTGAACCAGGCAGTGCCACTTCGACCTTCATCAGCGTTTTCATCTTTCTGATGGTCGTGGTCGTGGCGGTGGTGGTAGGAGGGGGCAGTCTATAACCGTCATCGTGTCTAGAGAGCTCCCACTTACACCAACCCCAGGCTGTCTGTCAACCTCATGCTGAGTGTGTGCTAGAACCACGAAACTCTATGTAATGTGTGGTTGGAGCAAGATAGCCTTTGTTGTTTCAGTGGAAGAGGGCTCCCTTGTTTGCTGATTTTTAAAATCATGTGTCCAGTCTCATCAGCCCATCTTCTTGCTATTTCATTCATTTTCCAATATCAGATTTAACCTCTTCTACCATGGAGATGTGAGTCTCTTCCTCTTGATAGCACATTGCAGATTTGTCCTGCTGTACAGTCATGTGCCTGCCTTTCTTGTTGTAGAGGCTCTACACTGAAAAATGGAACAAAGACAAGACCACCATTCACGTCATGCCTGATACTCCAGGCATTTTACTCTCCAGAGTCAACCAAATCACCATGAGTGATGTGAGTAGATTAACAACAACAACAAAGATGCAGGGAGTGGTGGGGTGGTGGCAGGGGGAGGGAAGAGTTTGAAGGGAACTAGTAGTTGTGGAATATCTGTCTTCCACATGACAACCTCTTTAAAATTAGGGTCCCCATTCTAACGTGACTAACAAGATGCTGGTGGTTTTCTACTTCATCATTTAGAAACTGTACAAAGCTGGCTGGGAAGAAGAAAAGAAGAAAGGATATGACCTGAGGCCTGATGCCATTCCAATAAAGGCTGCAAGAGCCTCCAGAGACATTGCCAGTGATGTAAGTGCTTTCACTGATGCTTATTTAGTCTAAACGAGAAAAAGAGCAAATGAGCCAAGCTCATGTGTATGCAGGAGCTGTAATCAGCTCTGTCCAGTGTTGGTGGGACCACTGTCCCATGTAACACACAAGACACCTCCCTTCACCCAGTCCAAGGATGCTCTAATTATTTGTTCATCATTCAATGTAAAAAGTGACAGGGTCTTGTTAAAATAAGTTACTTTTAGAGTGCTTAAGTTGTTTATGGGCAATTCCTAGCAAACATAGGGATGTGATCTATGCACTTTACCCAGAAGATCCATTACCAAGCTCTTTCCTGAATGTAGAGGTGCACCATGAAAAGTGGTGCCTGGAGCCTTTTCCGCTGGTTACACAGCAGAGTGGGAAAAGCTGCTTTTCTACATAACCCTAAAACAACTTATTTACACATCACTTTAACTCTAGATGATTTTTTCCCCTCATGGACTCAAGTCTGTCAAGAAATTTGAAGTAAAAATATTTTGCTCCTGGGGCTTCCCTGGTGGCGCAGTGGTTGAGGGTCCGCCTGCCGATGCAGGGGACACGGGTTCGTGCCCCGGTCCGGGAAGATCCCACATGCCGCGGAGCGGCTGGACCCGTGAGCCATGGCCGCTGAGCCTGCGCGTCCGGAGCCTGTGCTCCGCAACGGGAGAGGCCACAACAGTGACAGGCCCGCGTACCGCAAAAAAAAAAATTTGCTCCCAGTCCCCCCACCCCGCCAACAACTCCTCCCTTTGTAAGTTTAGAGTAGCTCTAAAACCCTACACCTATGACAAAGCTAATGGCACGTAGTGAATTATATTTTGTTCTCTTTCTTTCACTATCTTCATCACCATGTTTCTTTTCCATCCACAGTACAAGTACAGGCAAGCCTATGAACAAGCCAAAGGGAAACACATTGGCTTCCGGAGCCTAGAGGACGACCCCAAGTTGGTGCACTTCATGCAAGTGGCCAAGATGCAGTCAGACCGGGAGTACAAGAAGGCGTACGAGAAATCCAAGACATCCTTCCACACCCCGGCGGACATGCTCAGCATGGTGGCAGCCAAGAAGTCTCAGGAAGTGGCCACCAACGCCAACTACAGGAACGTGATCCATGCCTACAACATGCTTCCTGATGCCATGAGCTTTGAATTGGCCAAAAACATGATGCAGATTCAAAGTGATGTACGTGACAGCCACAACATTTGCAGAGCATTTACTTTGGATAATAAGCAAATCATGAAAGACCATAAGTAATGACATTTTGAAAATCCTGAAAGAAATTCATATGTAATTTCCCAATGAGGTGTTTCAGTTTTTACCTTAGATTGAATTTATTTTTTTAACACAAAAGGCATGAACCCTATCTATTATTGTTGTGAGCATTATTGGATGCTAGATCAGCCATAACACATGAAATTTGGTTTCAGAAAGAATGTGTTGAAGGAAATATATCTAGCAGAGAGAGTCAGAAGTATAAAAAGTTCCTGATTAAGGAGTAAGAGGTAAAACAGAAAGTCAGGTAACTTGAGAGCTACTGTCCCTCACTCCCAGCCAGCTTTCATTTCCAGCTTTATAATTGCATGTCTTACTTACTGATGAAATAGTAAGGAGGTGATGGCTGAAACAGCTATTAGAATAAATGTGAGGAAGGCACAGAGAGTGTAAAGCCAAGAATTGAGCTATAGAGGCCCTTTGGTGGCTGGGGAAAGTGAATATAAATTATGAACCAAATGCAGACCATGCCGAGCCTATATTTCTCTTTGGAAATGTAAGAGATGAGCTATAGCTGGGGAGGTACATAAGTACCCAAATGAAAGCAACCGTGGTACAGTTATAGGGGAAAATGTCTGATTTGAGGGGAAAAAAATGAAATTTGCACAAAGTATCAGTGAGGTTTCTGGCATACCCAAAGGAGTTGTAACCATGGTGGCTGCTCAAAGGCTTATAGCAAAAGAGAGAAATGGAGTCCTCTAAGTCTCGTATTAACCAAGGGGACTTGGGGATTTTTGTAAGAAAGTTAGTCCAGCATGGTCACCTTTCTTGAGATAGTAGTCACATGGTAGATTGATCTATTTGGTATTTCTTAGCACTTTTTCTTTATGAAGGCATTGAGAGAAGCAAATAAATCACCAAGATATTGCTGCTTGTTTTAAATTCCTCATGCAAGGAAATGTAAAAAAAAATAAAGTTTAGGGTTAAAAGTAATTAAAGTTGAATATACTATCAGTTGAAAACTGAAGTGGAACTTATGGAATATTAAATACCCGCTCATGGTTCTTGGAAGATTTGGTTTCTTCTCATCCTCGAACTTTTCCTCTTTTGCAGAATCAGTACAAAGCTGACTATGCTGACTTCATGAAGGGCGTTGGATGGCTCCCTCTGGGCTCCCTGGAGGCTGAGAAAAACAAGAAAGCCATGGAGATTATCAGTGAAAAGAAGTACCGCCAACACCCAGACACTTTGAAGTATTCCACCTTGATGGACTCAGTGAACATGGTTTTGGCCAAGAATAATGCAAAAATTATGAACGAAGTAAGTCTTTCAATAATGTAGTGTTTCATAAGCATCAGGAATAAGCCAGGCATAGCCTACATTTAATCGACAGGTTTTGATAACAGTTTTACAGCATCATAATTAATGTTTCCTCTACCTTGAAAAAGGGTCTTGTAGTTAAAAAAACAAACAAAAAAGATAGAAATTAGTCCTAATAAGTGCCCTCTCCAAATGCTCAGTGAACCACCCTACCTAATAGACATAACAAAATAAGTATGGACTCTTTTCTTTTGATGCAGATCTTGAAAATGAGTCCCATTTGTCTAAGGCGAAGTTAGTAGAAGCTCATTATGCTGAATCAGTAGACTGTAGGGCTGATGATAACAGCTGGGTGTTGCAGCCCACCCCTGCTTCCTTGCTCTTTTGATGGAATAAAAGAAAACTAGATTACATGGCTGTAGCAGCATTCTGAGCCAGGACCTTCTCTGGGCAATGCTGAGAGCGATAGCTCTCCACTAGTACTTCCCTGGATCATTAATGACTCCAGCCTTCAGAAAAGCCTTGCTGTAGTTTGACATAATTAGCCATAATTTGATTTCAGGACCAACAAGTACATCACCCTTGGACATCTGTTTTTAAGTTGCAAAAATAAAATAATTGCAACAGCATTGGTTATATTTTGTGGATCATAATTAGAAATGCCATTGATTAACCAAAAAGGGGAAAAATAATTTGGATCTGAACATGAAACGATTGCAGGAAATGATGTAGAAAGATAGAGCTGTATTACGCTAAGTCTCTGAGTAAATCCCCTGGAGTCTTCTGAGAAAGAATTTTGTCAAGAAGACCAACCTCTTTGGAAAGGACTTGTTGACACAAGGCAAAAGTCTCAGTGCCCCTTTTAAGACTTAGAATTTAAACCACCACAAACATACATTTACTTTTTAAATATTAAATTAAGCCTTTCATCTTTTCAGTGTTAAAGATTACCATTTTAAAATAATCATGCCAAGATGAGAATCACAGAAATAGCAAATGCTAACACTGAGAGATATCTTGGTGGTCATCAGGTTGAACCCCTTCCTTGCAGAGTTGAGGAAAGGGTGGCCCAGAGAGGCAAGGCACCTCCCTTAAAGACACACAGCAGGTCAATGACCTGGTCTGGACTAGAACCAGTACTCTAATGACTAACTATTGCTCTTTCCATTAGAATTGTGCTTCCAATACTATAATCACTAGCCACATGTGATGACAAATCTCAATAAATTAATATTAATAATTTGTTCTTCATTCACATTAGCTACATTTCAAGTGACTGATAGCCCCGTGTGGCTAGGGACTGTCGTGTTGATGACACAGATGACACAGGACATTTTCATCATTGCATAGTTCTATTGGATCGTGCTGGTCTTGATCAGAAGTCAGAAAATTAGTTTTTGTAAATAAAATTTTATAGGAACACAGCCACAGCTATTCATCTGCATATCATCTGTGGCCGCTTTTGCACTGCAACAGCAGAGCTGAGTAGTTCATAACAGAGATTCTGTGGCCCACAAAGCCTAACATTATTTACTATCTGGCTCTTTACGTTTACTGACCCCTGATCTAGAAAAAGACTCTAGCAGAAGTTTTGGTTTTGTTTTTTAATCAAACCTGGCTAAAACAAAGAGGTAGCATTTTTCACCTATAAGATTTGCAAAGATTAAAAAAGTTGTGTGATATACAGTATTGGAAAGGGAGTTAATGTAAACTTCTAAGCAACAGTTTTTGTTAATATTTGTTAAAATTAAAACTTCAGTTGCCCAATACCCTTCAGAAATCCTCATGTATGTGCAAAGATGTACACACATACATACACACGGTAATACTTTTTGCAGGTTAGGGTCCCCAAAAAGAGATGCTGAGATGGAATTTGGAGTACAGGGCATTTTTCAGGGATCAGTACCAGTGAGGGGACTTGAGGATATGGGGAGGAGGAAGGGTAAGCTGTGACAAAATGAGAAGAGTGGCATGGACATATATACACTACCAAACGTAAACTAGATAGCTAGTGGGAAGCAGCCGCATAGCACAGGGAGATCAGCTCGGTGCTTTGTGACCACCTAGAGGGGTGGGATAGGGAGGGTGGGAGGGAGGGAGACGCAAGAGGGAAGAGATATGGGAACATATGTATATGTATAACGGATTCACTTTGTTATAAAGCAGAAACTAACACACCATTGTAAAGCAATTATGCTCCAATAAAGATGTAAAAAAAAAGGGGGGGGGCAAGAGGGGTCCGACTGTGATGCCAGCCCTACAAAGCCTATGCCAGTGCCCCAGAGGTCTCTTGAGTATATACGGCCTGCCGGACGTGTCCTGAACTGGGTGGAATGGCCAGGCCTTTGTACCACCACTCTGATGAGTAACTGGATGGCCACCAGGGAAGGGTGTGCTCTTGAGTGAGGCAACAAAACCTTGAAGCAACTGACAGTTTGGAGGCTGTCTGCCAATAGTTGGTGCAACCAGTCCTTCCTTGAGTGAGTGTCTGGGTTGTACATCTCCAGGCCCACCACAAAGATCATGGCATCATTGCTTATAGTAGAAAAAAACTGGAAACAACAAATTAAATGTCTATCAAAGGAGAACTGGTTAAATCAATTGGGTTACACCTCTTCATGGAATACTGCACAGCTCTTTAAATGAATGAAGTAAATTGTTAAGAGGGCTAAAAGATGTCTAACCTATAATATTAAGTAAAAAAGCAAGATGTAAAACATGTTTTATATAACCTCATTTATATTAAAAAAAGGACTATATGTGGACTTTAATACGCATAGAAAATTTTAGGATGGAGATGCTATATCCAGGCTGTAAAATAGGAAGGCAAGACATTTTACTTTCCATCTGACATCCTCTCCACTGTCTTGTTTGAATGAGCACCTTTTTCCTTTAAATTTTTTAAAAATAAGAGCCAGCTAATAAAAACACATAAAATATTGATATTTGTGTACAATAATATATATGTACTGACTTCCTTTAAAACTTTTAAATACTAACTTCCATTGCTTTTTTCTTCTCTTTCTTTTCTTTCTTTTTTCCTTCCTTTCTTCCTTCCTTCCTTTTTTCTTTTTTTTTTTCTTTCCAGCACCTCTACAAACAAGCATGGGAGGCTGACAAGACCAAAGTCCACATCATGTCTGATATCCCCCAGATTATTCTGGCAAAGGCAAATACAATTAATATGAGTGATGTGAGTATAATTCCTCCAGTTGTCATCTTTCTTTCCTGCCTATTTGAACCAATCAAAACAAATTAACTAATTAATGGCTCGATTTTGAGAATGACTGTTTTGACAGTGAGTGGGAACCCACAAATGAGAATCTTTCTAATCTTGCTTTGCTAAGAGTAGGAGTAGGCCTGTTGATGGGACAGCAGTTAGGAATTCGAAGGGCAGTTGGATTTTGTTCTAGGAGTAGGTACTTCTTATCAAACTAAGAGAAGTAAAGAGAGTGGTTTAGAGCCCAGGATAAGAGATAAGGAAAGAGTGAATCCCAGGACTTTCTTAAAGAGTCCCTCTACCAAGCTTTTGAAATGATTCTAAAGAGGCAGTCTTGGGAAAAGTTAAATGGAAAGGGAAGAATAACATTTGGAAGAATTTAGGTCAAGCCCCGTAAGGAATTTAGGTCAAGCCCCGTAAGGAATGTAATGTTCTAACTTACTGTTAGAAGCTTCATAGGTGTTTTATTTCACTTCCTTTCTCATCCTAACCAGTTGCCAGGAAACCCTCAAATCCTACCAGTTTTTTTAAAAAAGATTTATTTATTATTTATTTATTTATAATAAATGCTGCATCGTGTCTTAGTTGCGGCACGCGGGATCTTCATTGAGGCGTGCGAGATCTTCGTTGCAGCACACGGGCTTCTCTCTGGTTGTGGCATGTGGTTTTCTCTCCTCTAGTTGTGGCTTGCAGGCTCCAGGGTGGGTGGGCTCTGTAGCCGTGGCACATGGGTTCCAGAGCACATGGGCTCTGTATTTTTGCCGCTTGCAGGCTCTCTAGTTGAGCTGTGCGGGCTCAGTAGTTGTGGCATGCGGGCTTAGTTGCCCCACGGCATGTGGGATCTTAGTTCCCTGACCAGGGATCAAACCCGGGTCCCCTGCATTGGAAGGTGGATTCTTTACCACTGGACCCCAGGGAAGTCCCTCTACCAGTTTTTTTCTTTTGTTTGTTTGAATTACACAGGGATTTGGCATTGTTGACTTCTTTTTGAATTGTAGTATCCACACAGTTATATACATAAAAGTGTCAATTGCAAAACAGTGAAGTCTTTTGATTTAAGAACATGGCTGTTTTGTATTCTTCTCTTGACTCTTATTTGACAAAATGCATCAGTAAGAATCTACTGGGCTTTCACATTTTTAAAAAGCATATTTACAACCTAATAGAGACGAGTAGCTCTTATTTTTTCTGGTGGTTTTTTGAAGATGTTTTAATTTGTAATAGATTTTGTTTTCAAACACAGTTATGTTACTTGTGAGAGCATTTAGCCCTTGAACCACCAATGAAGCATTCTGCTGAAAGATTAAAAAAAAAAAAAAGATGCTGCAGTGCCACTATACTCTTTTAAAATAAACCCAGACTTTCCTATTTAGAAGAAAACTATTTCCTTTGCCTCTCTTTCCAGAAACTCTACAAACTTTCTTTGGAAGAGTCTAAAAAGAAAGGGTATGATCTCAGAACTGATGCCATTCCTATCAAAGCTGCCAAAGCCTCAAGAGATATTGCAAGCGATGTAAGTCTGAAGGAAAGTGGTCACCTGACTGGGGGTTTCTAATCTACCAAAATAATAAGGGCTGAGTTTTAGAAACACTGAGTGAATAAAATATGAGAAAGAAAGCATGCCTGCTAACAATAGTCCCATTCTGTTCTGTGAATGCTTCTTAGCCTTGCTCTTGTGTTTTCTCTGGTATTCTGAAAAAACAGAATGCCAGCTACATTATGACCACCTTTGTACTCCATTACCAAGGCTATGGCCAGTAGAAATCGAAAGCCCTTCACTAAGTTTTCTTAACACTTGTGTTGTTCCTGCCTCCTGCCTCTTAGGCTCTGTCTTCCCAACAGGATGTGCCAGGAAATGGTGTGCTGGGAGTCCTGATCTTTTGTGCTCATGATAGCTGATTATTAAATAATCATGAATTTTGCAAACCAGTTGTTAAACTATTGATAGCTTGATATCAACTATAGTGGGAGAACTTACACCACAGAAATTGGCAAACACTACAAATCAGGGCTTTTTTTTCCCCCAGAGAGCTGGTGTGCCAACACACCATTGCCATAACACATCACCTTTATGAAACTCAATTCTTTCATTTGATTGTTTCCACAAGAAATCTACTCACAGTGAACATTTAATGATTTGGGGGTAATGAGAGGAGCACATTCAGAGCTCTCGTTCCTTAGCCATCCCCCAGGTCTACTTTCTCTTTCCTCTTCCATCTCTGCTCTTCATTTTTCCTACCTACCCATCCCTATCCCACTCCTACATTGTCCTGAGGACTCCAAACTTCTCCCTCTATTGTGCTGGAGTCATTTGGCTCTCCCAGCTCCTAACCCCTAAGTTGTACACCCGAACCCACAAGAGATAGGCAGAAGAAGAAGTTTCCCATGCATCAGGATCTCCCCATGAAAGAGGGAACTTGGTGATAAATAGTAAAATTTCTTCCCCATTATACCAGAGTAGAGAGTCTTAAAAGAAAAAAACCTCCACAAATATAAAGCTGCCCTAAAATTATACTGTGTATCTCATAACTAAGCCTCTTCTCATCAGTGAAAGACTGGCTGGATGATTTTTCAGGGCAACATTAAACTGCTTAGAACATTCTGCTTTTTTTTCTCTCATTTGCTGTACACTTATTACCTACTAAATGTTCTTTAACAACAGGGTATGTGTGAAAATCTGGGTGGTGTATCATCACAAGATCCATGTTCTAAGCTTTAATGACTTTAGCAAGTCACTCACCCCTCTGGCCTCAGCTTACTGTTCTCTAAAATGGGGGCAGTAACAATAACCTTGCTGTCTACCTCACAAGGTATAGTTGTGATGATCAACTTACACAAATAAATGTGAAAAAAGTGTTTTGTGAACTGTAGAATTCTATAAAAGTATCCCTTTTTATGAAATACAGAATATTGACACTAGAATGATTTCTGGTCAAGGGAATTGCTCTGAATAAATATTCAAATTTTTCTTCACAGTATAAATACAAACACAATTATGAAAAGGAGAGGGGGAAGATGGTTGGTTTCCGCAGTCTTGAGGATGATCCCAAATTAGTCCATTCCATGCAAGTGGCCAAGATGCAATCTGATCGGGAGTACAAGAAAAACTATGAGAAAACCAAGACCAGCTACCACACCCCTGCCGACATGCTCAGTGTCACGGCCGCCAAGGATGCCCAAGCCAACATCACCAACACCAACTACAAGCACCTGATTCACAAGTACATCCTCCTTCCAGACTCCATGAACATCCAGCTGTCCAAGAATATGAATCACATACAGAGTGATGTAAGGCTCTCTTCTTTCTGAGTGATGGTTGCATTCTTAGCATGAGAATGGAGATTACAGGCTCCTGTGCCACAGTTTTGTATCTAAATTGATAAGGTAAAGTAGAAAGTGCTTCTTCTCTTTATAGAATGAATATAAGCAGGACTACAATGAATGGTACAAAGGGCTTGGCTGGAGTCCAGCTGGTTCCCTAGAAGTGGAGAAGGCCAAGAAAGCAACTGAAAATGCCAGTGATCAGAAATACCGCCAGCACCCTAGCAACTTCCAGTTTAAGAAGCTGAATGACTCCATGGACATGGTTCTTGCCAAGCAGAATGCGCATACCATGAACAAGGTAGACAGAACACCTATCCTTCCTTGTAGCTCCCAGCCAGACAGGGCTAGCAGTCTCTGGTTCTTGTCTGGGAAATTTAATTTGGGCCCACCACTTCTATGCAGTGGCAAACAGTACCAGAGCACTCCCCTACACCATATTCTTCTGCTCCCAACCTCTTATTTTTATTTTACTTGCCCTTCTAATTAAGTTAGAAATTATTTGTTCTTTTAAATTATTTTTTTAAGTCTGAGTTTATTTTTGGTGTCTTTTCTGAATCATATACTACTTTAGTTACTAAGTTAACTTAATCTAATTCAAATTGAGTGCATTCAAATATTGTTATATTTTTTCTTTCTTGTTTGTCCTAAAAAGTTATTAAATTTTAAATGTATGCTTTTTAACTTTCTAGTACCTATACACCGTTGATTGGAACAAAGATAAAACCAAGGTTCATGTGATGCCAGATACACCAGACATTTTACAAGCCAAGCAAAATCAAATACACTACAGTCAGGTAAAGCTACATAAAAATTTTGCTTGAAACTAATTGAACGTTTTAAATGATGGCATGGTATATCATTGATGTAAATGCTGAAGCAGTGGAAATGAATGACTCAAACTGGCTAGCGTAGGGATGTTGCAGTTTATGGTGGTTTAAAGCAAGAGCTTCGGCTGTGATTATATATCCCATGGAGTAGGCATTGTGCCTGTTTTATTTCAGTACTCATTGTGTGTGGCGCAGTATAGAAAATTGATTAATAGCTGTTGGAAGAAAAAATTGCACCAAACAGACCTGGTATGAGCTTTGGCTTTGCCATTTATGAATTGTGTAATATTGGGTCTAAACCTTAATTCCCTCATCCCTAAAACTGGGACCGTACAAGTGCCTATGACATTGAATTGCTGTGAGGACCAAATGAGAAATTCCATGAAGGGCTCTCATCACAGTGCCTGGCACATAGTAAGCACTGGATGGCCTTCAGCTATTTTTATTATTGTCCAGTTTTAACATATGTGCATCCATTCAATAAATTTGATTCAAAAAGATTAACTTTTGGCTTCCCTGGTGGCGCAGTGGTTGAGAGTCCACCTGCCTATGCAGGGGACACGGGTTCGTGCCCCGGTCCAGGAAGATCCCACATGCCGTGGAGCAGCTGGGCCCGTGAGCCATGGCCACTGGGGCCTGCGCATCCGGAGCCTGTGCTCCGCAGCGGGAGAGGCCACAGCAGTGAGAGGCCTGCGTACCGCAAAAAAAAAAAAAAAGATTAACTTATTTATTGCACTTTACAAAAGGCATTTCATTATCTATTACTTTTATCATTTAGATAATTAAAATATGTTACCTGACCCTTTTTTTAAAAAATCAATTTAACATCTGTAATCAAAATAGTGAGCCTAGACTGTATTTAACTGCAAAGGGAATCTACCTAATATACTTGATATGACCATATTGTGTCTGAACAGAAAAGGACATGATCAACTGCACTACCAAGGGGATGGGGAGTGAGTCTCAGAGGCAAAAAAAAAAAAGAAGCCAGATCATATGATGCTAAGTCATTGCTCTATTAAACAGCTTGCTTTGTATTTATCCATATCTTCAGAGATAAGATAGATGATGTTAAAATCTGATGTCTACTCTTTAGGTACACTTTTGTTCAATAATCTGTTTGGGTTTTAATATACACTGAATAATGCTAAATAATTTCTTTAATTTTCAGAAACTCTATAAACTTGGATGGGAAGAAGCTTTGAAGAAAGGCTATGATCTCCCAGTTGATGCAATTTCTGTACAATTGGCCAAAGCTTCAAGAGACATTGCTAGTGATGTAAGTATTGTTTGACTTCTATGAGGATATACTGTTATCTGAATCCAGTACCTTAATGCTGGTAATGATTTTCACAGATAGGCCCTACCTTTCAAAATGTGATGCCGTCCCCTTCATCTTCTCCTACCCTCTTCACTTACCCCAAATTCACTCTTGTTTCTCACTGATCGAATATCAAAAAAGGGGCTGCCTGGACAGAGACTGAGCCAGAGGACCTACAAGGTGCATTACACTAAGACATGATGTTTCTAGACATTACAAAAGTACCAGAGATTTCCGTTTTCCCCTGCTTGCCTGCAAATAATTTTTCTGGCTTCTATTTGTCTATTTTAGACAAATTCAAAGTGCCAGATAATAAATAACCTCAACAACCTAATGTTAATAGATTTTTCTTTGCACATATTTAAAATTAGCTTCCAATTCTTTCTATTTAGTCCATCCTTGCATTTACGTAATTATAATAAATTGGCTCAGCGTATAGAAAATACAGAAGGTGGCAGGAATTTAGGTTTAAGATCCAGAAGACCTAACTTTCCCCTGGATATCTGGTCGAAAGTTCGTAAAACGAGGATATTCACTCTCCAAGGCAACTTCTTTTTTTTTTTTTTTTTTTTTTGGCCGCACACAGTTTGTGGGATCTTAGTTCCCCGACCAGGCATTGAACCCCAGGCCATGGCATTGACAGCGCCGAGTCCTAACCACTGGACAGCCAGGGAATTCCCAAGGCAACTTCTATTTATGATTGGAAAGGGTAGTAAATTTGGTAAATAAACTGGATATAGTTCCTATTGATCAATTAAATTTTTATAAGTATTCAACTTAGATATTCTGCAAACACTAAAACATATAATTTTGTTAACACCAAAAATTAAACACCAAAAATTCAGAGAACTTTGGTTATAGAGAATAAATTACCAGAATTTCATAGGGAAGCACAACCTCTTAATCAAAATCTTTGAAACAAAGCAAAACAAGGATTTGGTTTGGAGAGAAAGCATGTCTAAAGGCAGAATCTGACATAAAGAAGATGTGGTACATATATGCAATGGAATATTAGTCATAAAAAAGAATGAAATAATGCCATTTGCAGCAAAGACCTAGAGATTGTTATACTGAGTGAAGTTAAGTCAAACAGAGAAGGAGAAATATCGTATGATATCACTTATATGCAGAATCTAAAAAGAAATGATACAAATGAACGTATTTACAAAACAGAAACGGACTCACAGACTTAGAGAATGAACTTATGGTTACTGGAGGGAAGGGGGGAGGGAAGGGATAGTTAGGGAGTTTGGGATTGACATGTACAGACTGCTATTTTTAAAATGGATAACCAACAAGGACCTACTGTTTAGCACAGGGAACTCTGCTCAATGTTATGTGGTAGCCAGGATGGGAGGGCAGTCTGGGCAAGAATGGATACATGTTTATGTATGGATGAGTTGCTTTGCTGTACACCTGAAACTATCACAACATTCTTAATGAGCTATACTCCAATATTAAAAAGGTTAAAAAAAATAAAGACAGAATCTGACAATAAATTCTAAGAATATAAGGGAAGTTTCTCTCTAATTCAGTTAATCTGTGGCACTCCAGAAGTGCTGAGAATTAATTAGATGACGTGTTATTATCCACCCTCGGGCTTGCAGGTCAATACTTCATTAAAATGAATAGATGTGGTAATGAACCTAAAGCAGTAGTGATGCTTGAACGGTCCCCGGAAAGTAAACTCATTTTCATTTAATGTTAGTGCTCCCCATGAGGTAAAGATAGTTTAGGAAATTAAATTGTGTCAATACTTTCGTAACAACACAATATTTGATAGTACCTAATTTCTTTTCACGTAAATCTGTTAGAAACTTTCGAAATCGTACCCTAAAATTAAATTACCTATAAATGAATTTCCCACCATTGTAGAGATTGTATCTCCTCTGTTTCAAATGGTTCTTGTATCTATACAATCTAAGGAGAGTAGAGCTATTTTTTATGAGTACTCAATTTAATAAATTAGAATCATAGAATTTAGAGTTAGAAGATAACTTAAAGGTTATTTAATCTAATCTCCCACTCAGCATCCTACCTTCTCTCCATTCCAACTGGTCTCTGGATACTTACAAATATAAGAATTTTTGTGTCCTTCAGGGCAGGTTGTTTCCTTGCTGGATCATCTCTAATTGACGTTATCTATTTCCTTATTTCGAACATGTTACTGATCAGCCCTAGGTCTGTGTTTTTTTGTGTGTGTGTGTGGTACACGGGCCTCTCACTGCTGTGGCCTCTTCCGTTAAGGAGCACAGGCTCCGGACGCTCAGGCCCAGCAGGCACGGCTCACGGGCCCAGCTGCTCCGCGGCACGTGGGATCTTCCTGGTCCAGGGCACGAACCCGTGTCCCCTGCATCAGCAGGCGGACTCTCAACCACTGCGCCACCAGGGAAGCCCAGGTCTGTGTTTTAGAACACCACAAAAGTAGCATATTTCCTCTTTCACCTGATACCCCTTCAAACATTTCAAGTTTCTTACTTATTCTCCTTTGGTTTTAGCTTTATAGGTCCTTCAATCCTCTGATCATTCCACTTGTGATTTATTGTATTTTTTCAAAACCCCTATCAAAATAGAATGCCTCAAAACTCGGTGTTGTTTTCCTGTTTCAGGTCAGGCCAAGCACATGAGCTTCTGATTTGCCTTTATCTGTACCCCTACAGAATCTCTTACAAAAATCTACTTTTTTAAAAGCAACTTTGTCAGATTGCCCACATTGAGCTTATAACCCCCGTAAACTCTTGAGTATTTTTAGTAGACATAACCATGAAGCTGGGTGTCAAGAGAGAGTAGAACCTACTTCTGTGAAGTGTAATGTATGTTCAGCATCTGGTATCAAGTAAATGCTATTATTCCTCTCATTATTATTATCCCTCTTGTCATTGTCATCCAACAGTAATGCAGTTTTTCCCAATTGAATCTAAATACTAGATTTCACTCTTAATTTCTTACATTTATGTAGTTCGTTTGACCTATCTTGGCGATATGTTGAGATCTTGTGGAATTTTGTTTCTAATTTAACATGTTTAGCTGTTTTTATGTGCATGAAGATATGGATCCCGAACAGGCCAAGTTTATGTGACATAATTATATGGCAAACCACTAAAAAACCCTGCCGCTTAATAAATTAATCTACACTATTAGGCCTGTTCATCAAGTCCTGAATCTTCCCAATTTTCTTTTTTGCCATTCAGCCATACTTTTCCATCATTCCCATAAGGATATCACAAGAGCTTTATCAAATACTACCGTAGAGTCAGCATACACAATGTCTAGCACATCCCAATATATATGTCTACCTCTAGTTGAATTTAATTTCTCATCATAACCTGTCCTGATACTCAGCTACATTATGTTTTTTTGGAAACTTCCACTTAAGTTTTCACATTTCTTATTAAGTTAAATGAAATTCTCAGTTTTGGAAAACAAACATGCAAACAAAGCAAACTGAGTTTAACTTGCCCTGTGTTTATGTTAATAAGAGAACTGTTTCCTCTGATTTCAGTTTAAATATAAACAAGGCTACCGCAAGCAAGTCGGCCACCATATTGGATTCCGGAGTCTGCAAGATGATCCAAAGCTTGTGTTGTCCATGAATGTAGCCAAAATGCAGAGTGAAAGGGAATACAAGAAGGACTTTGAGAAGTGGAAAACCAAGTTCAGCAGCCCAGTGGACATGTTGGGAGTGGTGCTGGCCAAAAAATGCCAGGCCTTGGTCAGTGACGTGGACTACAAGAACTACCTGCACCAGTGGACCTGCCTGCCTGACCAGAATGACGTTGTTCAAGCTAAAAAGGTTTATGAACTACAGAGTGAGGTCAGTTTCTACTAAATCTCATAGTTTATGTAGTACTTTATATCTCATATGAGTAGCCATTTAATCATAGACAGACTGAAACTAGATAAATTATTATTGAATATCTAAAATGCATCTGTTTGTAATGCATAGAATCACTTCAGTCAAGGGTCTAGATGAGGTTGGAATTTTGATGGCTTGCTTTGTATTTTCACAGAATTTGTATAAATCTGACCTTGAGTGGCTGAGAGGCATAGGATGGAGTCCCCTGGGTTCTTTGGAGGTAGAAAAGAACAAACGGGCTTCAGAAATCATCAGTGAGAAGAAATATCGCCAGCCTCCAGACAGAAACAAGTTCACCAGCATTCCTGATGCCATGGACATAGTTCTGGCAAAGACAAATGCCAAAAATAGGAGTGATGTGAGTAACTCTTCAGAAATAAATAAAAGAAATTATAGTGCCTGATACCTGGTAGGTGCTCAATAGTATTTGCTTAATAAATTAGTAGAACAGCACAGCATCGCATCACACAGCATAATGTTTTTTTTGTTTGGTTACTTCATTTGAATTATCAGTTACCCTACACTGGATCATGTAAAAATGGGTTAGTATAAATTTTGTCACCCAAATCTTGCTTGCTTATTTATTTATCCAAATCATAAAGAAAAAACTATTGAATGTATTTTTTTCTCTGAAACTTGAGTGCATTAAAGACCCAGATTTTGTTGGGATAGAGTATATCAGAGGGAGATATTCTGAGTACCTTACACAGGCACAGTGGAAATGTCATAAAGAGTATATAGTTATCTATTTATCTGGTGGTTCCCAACCAGGGACAGTTTTGTCCCACAGGGGACATTTGGCAGCACGCAGAGACCTTGTCATAACTTGAGGGTGGCATGCTACTGGCATCTAGTGGATAGAAGTCAGGACAGTTCCCTCACAACAAAGAATCATCCGGTATACAACACCAATAGTGCTGAAGTTGAGAAACTCTGATCTTTCTTAATCAGAAAGGTTAGTCCAGAACCAGGGTAAAGGTATATGGAAATTCACAAGCCTTGGTTTATTGTAGTCCTGAATGTCTTTAATTGGCTCCTCTGGGTTACATGGACCATAGTAAGAATGTTCAGGAAGGAGAAAAGTGCCAACCCCTCACACCCCACACAACACACCTCAAAGGGAAATTGATAAGTCCAAGGAACCAATGAGACTTTAAAATCTTTTTATATTGAAATAATTTCAGGTATACAGAAAAGTTGAAAATAGTACAAATAATTTATGTATGTGCATCTTTATACGTATATATATCTTTCACCCAGATTCCACAATTATTAGCATTTTGTCACTTTTACCTTTTTCTTTCTTCCCTCCCACCTCTTTCTCTTAGCTCTGTGTGTGTGTGTGTGTGTGTGTGTGTGTGTGTGTATATATATATATGTATGTGTATGTGTATAAGTTGCTTCCTGATGCCACTCTATCCCTAAATGTGTATTTCCTGAAAATAAGAACATTCTCTTAGATAACCACAGTGCAATGATCAAAATCAGGAAAGTAGTGTTGAAATAACACTAGTCTACAGAATTTACTCAATTTTACCACAAGTGTCCTTTATAGAAAGTAAAAAATCTTTTCTGATCCAGGATCCAATCCAAGACCACACGTTGAATTTACTTGTCATGTCTTTAGTCTCCTTTAATCTGAACTGGTTCCTCACTTCTTTGTCTTCCAAGTCCTTGACATTTGTGAAGAGCACAGGCCAGTTGTTTTGTGGAACCTCCCTAAATTTGGTTTTGTCTAGTGTTTCCTCATGATTAGATTCAGGTTTTGTATTTTTGGCAGGATAGCACATGTTGCATCCTCCTCCATATAGGCACATAGTATCAATCTGTCCCATTACTGATCATTTTAACTTTGATTACTTGGGTGAAATGGTGTCGCCAGCTTTCTCCACTGTCTGGTTACTATTTTGGCCTTTGTAATTGATAAGTATATTGTGGGAAGATTCTCTGACAATGTAAACAAAGTTTTTCATCAGACTTTCACCCCCTAGTTTTAATAAATCAATGAGATTTTCGTTTGGGTCCCTCTGTCTTCTGTTGAAGAAAGACGGATGATGACCCCAAGATATAAAAGAGGCTTTGATAAATCTCATACAAAATCCTTTGGGGGAATCCTAATCCTCCCAAGTAATTATGAGGTATAACCATATAATAAACCACATAGGAAATGAGACTCCCTAATATATAGACATACCCTGAATATGTCATCTTTTCAGAAGATAAGGGCTGTCCCCCAGTTAAACACCGAGGGAGACTTTCACAATCCAACAGGTGGAGAACTGCTGCTCCATTTGATGATGTTGGCAAAGGCTTTAAATACTTGGGTTGATTTCTTACAGGCAGGTTAGTTGTAACTTTGAAAAGGTAATCCATAATCTATATTTTTGAAGGCAGTTATGTCTCAGATGAGTCAAAAAATACTATATCTATTCTCTGCTTATGTTATCTGCTTATGCTATTGTGATGCTTAATTTAGATGAATCAGTAATACTGTTTGAAGTTAACTGTGTCACTCACTAATCTTATAGCACCACTGAAAAACACTTATTTCTCATTTTAGAGACTTTATAGAGAAGCTTGGGACAAGGACAAGACTCAAATCCACATCATGCCTGATACACCTGGCATTATTCTGGCTAAAGCAAACTTAATCAATACAAGCGATGTAAGTTTCCAAATTCAGCGTGTGTTTTCCGAAAGCTCATTTTATTTTTATTTTTTAAAATATTTATTTATTTTTATTTGGTTGCACTGGGTCTTAGTTGCAGCAGGAGGGCTCCTTAGTTGTGGCATGTGAACTCTTAGTTGCGGCATGCATGTGGGATCTAGTTCCCCGACCAGGGATCGAACCTGGGCCCCCTGCATCAGGAGCGTGGAGTCCCAACCACTGCGCCACCAGGGAAGTCCCCAGAAATCTCATTTTAATTGCGTCTAAGGCAGTGAATTTATTTGGAATTTATTCTGAATACTTGAATCATGTTAATTAACAAACTAAAAGTGACTTAGAGTCCTCATTTAGTGGTTTTAAGCCTGAACATCCAAATAATTGGCACTCCCTATGTCAGATAGAGTTGGAAGGATGTGCTCTCTGTTCATTATAGTCCATTATTATGCATGTTGTTATAACATAATGGTTTGTATAGCTCTTCCCTATGTGGATAAGAACTTCTTGGGAGCAGAGACAATTCATATTTGATCTGCAGTGCTTAGCTAGTATAGTGCCTGATATACATGAAATTCAATAAAATTTAAATGAGTGAGCATAAAAAACTCTTGCACACACACAAAAAACTCATGCACCAAAAAAAAAAAAAACTCATGCCAGATAATTTCATTTTTATTGTCATCATGGCATAATCTCCTGAAAATAATGGATGTAAAAATTAATATTTTAAAGACAAGTTCTAAATTCCAATACAAACACTTTAGCTTAAATAATGTACTAGAGTAATGACACAAAGGACTAAAATATAAAAACAAGTCCAAGATCAATAGGCACTTTAAACAATCTGGTTTCTAAATGAAGTGCATTAAATTAGATTCTCAATTATTTAATTATGTAACAAATCTGAAGAAGCACATTATTTCTCTTAAGCTTTTTAATTCAGTATTTAAACTTTCCTCAAAAAATCTTACATTTTAAAAATTATGAAGGACTTTGTTTCTTACCTAAAAATATGTATCCTACTTTTGGACAGCCCTATATTGTGAAATAGACTTTGTTTCACAATGTGTTAGCTACGTAGTCCTTTAGGTGTGATTTTCCCCCACTAGAGGTGTTAGATGGGAAAAGGCATTGCTCTTGGGCTTCCCTGGTGGTGCAGTGGTTGGGAATCCCCCTGCTAATGCCGGGGACATGGTTCAAGCCCTGCTCCAGAAGGATCCCACATGCCATGGAGCAACTGAGCCCATGCGCCACAACTACCAAGCCTGCGCTCTAGAGCCCGTGAGTCACAACTACTGAGCCCGCATGCCACAATGACTGAAGCCCGCGCACCTAGAGCCCATGCTCCGCAATAAGAGAAGCCACCACAATGAGAAGCCCACGCACTGCAATGAAGAGTAGCCCCCGCTCGCTGCGAAAGCCCGTGTGCAGCAACGAAGACCCAAACGCAGCCAAAAATAAATTAATTAAATAAATTTTTTTTTTAAAGGCATTGCTCTTTTCTAACAAAATCTTCTAATGAAACATTCAAAGTTAATTGGAAAACAGCACCTAAATGATAATTTCATTTCATTTCTCTACCAATTTACTTCTGTCTGTCTCATTCTCATAAACATTTGGGAAGAGATGACATTTAATTTTATTGATCTAAGTAATTGAAGAGCTTTCAAGTTTAAAACAGGACCATCAGCAATCAATAAGCATAATTTTGAATTACATTTGAGTATTCTAGAGCACATATTGTACTATCCTCATGAGCTCTTAAAATATTTAGCACGTTGGATTCATTATGATGCAGACGTTTATGGAAAATAGCTTTTTTCAAAGTGATTTTCATCTCTTAACAGAAACACTACCGAATGGGTTATGAGGAGCTGAAGAAAAAAGGTTACGATCTTCCCGTTGATGCCATACCACTCAAAGCAGCAAAAGCATCCCGAGATATTGCCAGCGAAGTAAGACTTTCTCCCTTGTTTGTATTGATTGGATTGCAATTTTCACTTCAGAGCAGTCTCAAGTTAATATTAAATTGAACACAGTCCTCTAAGTAACAAATTGAAACATAGTGAAATGATCCCAGGGACGCAGTGTGAGATGAGGATAAATTCAAGGATGCATTTATTATGTATGGAATTTGTAGGATTTAGCCTTTAATCTTTACTATCAAAAAAACCTTAAATCTGTGGCTCTCTACCCTTGGTGATATTTGGAATATATGTTCTCTGTAATTTGCCACAAAGATAGTAATATAAGTTAATCTTAAAAAGAATAAGACATGATTTCTTTTTGTTTCCTTTAGTACAAGTACAAGGAAGCTTTTCGCAAGCAGCTTGGCCATCACATTGGAGCCCGGGACGTGAAAGATGACCCAAAGATGATGTGGTCCATGCATGTGGCCAAGATCCAGAGTGACAGGGA